AAAATATTTAAAGTTGTTTCTATGAAATGTTGTAATAGTGGGTTGACACAATATTTCGTAAGATGGCATAGTATTTCAATGGTTTTATTTCTTGAGTCAACAAAATGTCTTAATGGGTCAACATAATGTTGCTTGGGTTAGGACAATATTTCTTTTGTCAACACAATATTGGGTTGACACACTAACTTCTATATCATCTAGGACAAAGTTATATTTATTTATCCTTCTCTTAGCCACATTTATTTTTCAAATGTCTTTATTCTTAATTTTCACTATTATTTCCATAAGATTAATAGCTAAACTTCACCAAATTAGAAATCTCTTTCTACATGATAAATTAAAAGTCCATCTCCCAATGTTAGACAGAATAAAGAGAGTGATTTACCTTTCTACTCACATTATAAGTACTTTAAGAGTGATTGATAATTATAAATTAGTAGGAACATCTATGTATTAATATCTTATATATAGATGCTAATTAATAAGTAGAGAATATAATTATACATGTATTACTGATTCTTTATGACATTCATAATGATTTATCATTTAAGTCTTAATTTATATTATTTTATTATTTTATTTATATTATGAGATTAACCTCACTTGACTTTTATGAAGCCAAGTGACGATTCTCTCACATCTTCTTGATAATTATTCAATCGCAAAGACTTAGGTGAGTTCTAATGGAGGGATACTTTTTGGCTCTCTCTAATAGTGACTAGTCAAAGAAAAAAAAAGAAAAATTAAGGCTTAGTTAATAGTATTCTTGTGCCCAAGATTGTCATGGAGAAAAGACTACTTGGATCGCATCAAGATCATCATGGATCAACCACCAGTCAGCCTAAGACTAGCGCACAACAAGGTCTGTACAAGATCTAGATTTGTTGTAATCTTCTCTATGAAAATTAACTTTTAGTTTGAATTAATTTTATTATTTATTCCATCATTCTACTACGTTCGTGATAATTATAAATTAGTAGTTATATCTATACATTAATATCTTATATATAGATGTTAATTAATAAGTAGATAAAGAATTATACATGTTACCAATATATTATGACATTTTATACATACAAGTCCTAATATATATTATTTTATTTATTTTATTTATATTATGAGATTATCCCCACTTGATTTTTATAAAGTCAAGTAATGATTCTCTCACATTTTCTTAATAATTATTTGATTGCAAAGATTTAGGTGAGCTATTATTATGAGTTGGAAGTAATGAAAAAAGCCTAAGTCTTCACCCCAATGAAAAATCAAGTCTTATAAAAAGGGTCAGCTTAATACATTTATGGGCCCAAAAGAAGGCGTCACCTAGGCCTAGCTTATTTGGATTATCAATAAATAAGATTTTGGCTGTCTATCTCAAGGTGCCTTAAGATAAGATTAAGAGAAGTATTAGAGTTTTTAAGTGAAAATATAAGAAGATTTATGATTAAAGAATAATATAATATATTTAGTGAGACTTTATGTGATTTTAAGTTTTGAGAATCTTCTCCATTCAATTATGATTCTTGTGAATTTTACAAATCTTAATTTGATTAATTAAATCAACTATAATCATTTACATAAGAATTATTGATTGAAACCCTATTTTTATCTAAATCACGTTCATTGGGACACAATCATTTTAACATCTACACCCAAATTTCTATTGTTCATGAATTTTTAAATATATTTTATCTTCATCAATTAGTCTAAAAATTATAAAAATATTATATTCTTTGAATAAAATTCTAAAATCTTATCAGATATTATCTTACATTATTTAAAACCCTTTTGGTAAATTATAATTAATTTAGTTGTGCTGAAATGTTTTTAAAATCCAAAAAATATTATTTTTTAGTTTTATAAATTTTAAAATTATGTGATTTTACTGTTCAACAATTAGGCCATGTTACTTAGATGATTACTTTATTTCTTTAAGGTTTTTGTTAGATGATTTAACTTATGTTGATTATCTATTTATTGGTCAAGACATGTTTTACTATTAGTCTTACAAGTACTTAGGATTTATTGTTATAATTTAACTTATTCCTATTATTTTGGACATAGTTTTGGATTTATCATATTAAGTCATGGCTTGTTGCATTTTGTTTTTCCCACATTCATTCTCTCTATAGATAGTATGTGCATTGCCCATCTAATTTTCTTGTAAGTAGTAAGTAATATAGAAATTAATTCATGCAACTATTCAATAGAAATTTCTATTTCAAGATCACTAGTGCATACCATATTTTCTTCACCACTTAGTCACATATTTTCTTTATCTTCTGCATTTGATTTAGATGAGGACCGTCTACATTGTTCCATGTAACTATCATAGCTTCTTTCTTCTTTTTGTTCCTCTTCAATATCAAGTATTTAGTCTAGATGTGTCTTGCCTTTTTTCACTAAAAAACTGACCTCATTTGTCAAAGAAGATTTAATCAATTTTCTTTCAAATCATTGGGCCCTTTTCCTCATAATAATTTTTTAAAATTTCCTAAAGGGCCATGTTATTTCTCTCTATCACTCACACTAGATATCTTGTTTGAGTCTAAGAGCCACTTATTTTTTCAATTATGTTTCCAAAATATCTAATGTTTTATTTAGTCCTATAGAATATGTTAGCAAAGATCTTACAAGTTGATATAGCATAGTTTTATTAGATCTTTTGCCTCCTCAATTGTCGCCACCTTCAATTTTATCTCAATATAAGAGATCAAATGATTTTTCTATTTAATTTGGAAGTTTTATAATCCTACTCAAGATATTTGAATCTATTAATTATATCTGAAAATATTAATAATATCTCTTTAATGGATTCACTTAGATGCATAGAAAATAATTCATACTTATGAGACAACTAATTAATCTTCATTCTTTGTGTTGTCACTTCATAGGATACTTCTAATTAATATCAAGTTTCTTTGGCTGTGTTACAATATATACTCTATTAAACTAATTGTTTAGGGCACAATAAAACTCATTCATAGCTTGAGCATTGAAAGATAATCTTTCTAATTTACTCATCAGAAAATATTACATTTCTTTATCTCTAAAGGCCCATGTGGGATAAGTTTCCATTCATTATAATATGTGGCCTAAAAAAATAAATCTAATCCTCATTTTTCTATGTATTTAATTCGAGCCATTAAATAGTGGAGGTCGGTGAGTAAAGGGTCCTCCTAAATTTCATCATAAAGTGCTTGCCATTATAATTTATTTCTCAAGGATAATTATTTCTTATGAATTAAGGTTGGTTTTAATATTAGAAAAGGTTATAGCATACAACACTAAGAGGAGAGGTAAATTGATTTTGACTCTAATTTTTTTTGCTGTTCCATTTAAGAACATGAGTCTAATATTTTTTTCACACAATTTTTTTGTGGTGTAGTCTACTTGACCTATTTCACTTTCCAAGGATTACATCCTTAGGTTCTAGTAAATAGTTACAGAAAAACATACTAAATTAAGCCTTCAACCCCTTCACTAGGTTAAATAGCTCCAACCAACTCAATATTTCACTTTGATATTCACTTTCAAATTTATGGCTCTAGGGGCCCAACTAGAGGATACCCATGTCTCTCTTCCGGATTAACATCTTTATGGGGCCCAAGTAGAGAGAGTTAGCACCATATTCAATTGAGTAATTATCATTCAAAATTACTTCAAGACTGTAATTGAGTTACCGTTCAGTGAGATTTAACTCCAAACTTCACATAGGCTTTGATTCCTTAGAATTCTTATTGCAAAAGCATTTACATAGAGCAGACTTTGAAGACTTGAACAATAGTTGATCTTATTTTCCTTGAGGTGTTCAAGAAGGAAGAATTCTGAATTGGACTCTTGGAGGAAGAGGGTGAACGTAAAAGCTCTCTTTTTTTTTCTCCCTCTTTTGCTCAACAGAAATGTGGGCTGGGACACCCCTTTTATGTGAAATGTGTTGTACAATGGCCACCAATAACACCTAAATAACAGCCTATTTTAGTTACATTCATGTCTGCAATTTAAACTTTATGCTATTTTTTAATCTTATGAAAATCACAATAAATACAAATTTGTCATGCATGCCCATGCCTATGGCGTCAACTTGCAACCAAAAGTATATAACTCATTTTAATGAATATGGACTATGTTTAACCTTTGGGTAATATTCTCTTAATTTTGAGACTTTTTTGAATAATAAATAATCTGGATCACCTTAATGTATAATTCCACTATTATGAGTTTTACTAAACTATCATTCTATATTCTATGTCACCATCAAAGCAATTTAGGCTCTTCAAGCTATCAAAGATCTCTCAGACTATGTAGAGTAAAAATAAATCATGTAAGAGCAATGGGAGTTATCCCATAATATGCAAGGCAACCCAAGTGAATGGGCCAACAGAGTAGGAGCCTTCTTAACATGTGCTCTAGTATAGCTGAAACGAGGAAAAATGCGTGCAGATCAAAGATTGGGCCTGGCTCAGTTGACTTTTCCCTCCCCAACTTATAGAAGATGGCCATGCTCGCCTGGCTCCGTCCGCGTATACTACGTACAGGCCGCAGTTACCACGAGATATACCCTCCAAGATCAGTAAAACCGTACTGGGGGGCGGCGCAAGCGGGACGCGTGGCGCGCTGGCCCCCGTCGTCTGGATGATTTATAGCGACGTAAAGTGAGAAAGGGAGAGAAAGAGAGAGAGAGAGAGAAGAGCGGTTCGGTTGGGCCGGTCGTCGCCTTCCCGGGGTGACTGACAGAGGCGGGGAGTGATGGTGGGGAGGGGAGGAAAGGGGGAAGAAGGGGGGTAAAATTGGAGAAAGAAACAAAACGAGCGGGGGGAGGAAGAGGAAGAGGACGAGTGGATGTGGTCCTCCGTTCAGTCCTCCTTTCCAAGGTTCCGCCTTTTGCTGCCTGTTCCCTGAACCCCCCTTCGTCCTCCCCACTACTCCTCCCCAGCTCAGGTCCCTCCTGGTGGCCTCGCTCTCCCCCTTCCACCGGTGGGCTGGAGCGGTCGACGGAGATGAGGCAGCTGGGGGCGAAGAAGGGCAGGTTCAAGCGGGATGAGCTGCCGGCGGACGACGGAGGGGGCGCCGCTGGGGACGTCGGCCTTGGTGAGGATGAGAAGAAGAGGAGGCTGCCGTATGGGTTTTCCTCCACGTCTTCTTCTTCGTCTTCGTCTTCGTCTGCGTCTTCTTCGGTGGCGGCGGTGGCGTCGACTGCGGCGGCCGCGGCGGCCGCCATGGTGCGAAGGGGAGCGGGGTCCGGCGGCGCCGCCGGTGGCCTCTCGCTGCCGTACTGTCAGGCCGAGCGGTGCACCGCCGATCTCACGGAGGCAAAGCGCTACCACCGCAGGCACAAGGTCTGTGAAGCCCACTCCAAGGCCGCCGTCGTCCTCGTCGCCGGCCTCCGCCAGCGCTTCTGCCAGCAATGCAGCAGGTACCCACCTCCTTCTCCTACCCACCTTCATGATCACCGGCAACCTCGAGCTTGAAGAAAACTATCACCATTCACTTCTGGCGATCTCCGCCAACGTTTGGGGGGCTTCCTGCACAGGTTCCACGAGCTCTCCGAGTTCGACGAAGCAAAGCGGAGCTGCCGCCGGCGACTGGCGGGGCACAACGAACGGCGGCGGAAGAGTTCGTCGGAATCTCAGGGCGAAGGCTCCGGCCATTGCCGGCAGGTTGACCAGAGCGGGAGGATGCCCATCGCCACTCTCCCCGCGAACCCCGCCTTCAAGCATTTCCATATCAGATAAACTCTCGATCATCAATTCTGCTCCCTCTCTTCTGTCATCCCTGCGGCTCCTGCTCATAACCTCCCCACCAGGTGGAAGCATCTCTGGAGCCGGAACGAATGATTGATGCTTAATGATCTGGATCATCCACGATCTCGTTTCCTGGCATCTTTCGCAGCTGCTGAAATGTAGCCAAATATAGAACGATTAATGGGTACCATCATCTTCCTTCCACTAGTGGAGAAATCCTCGGTGACCTGTGTTTCTTTCTCCCAGTCTCATCTCCTGAGTCTCCTCCCAGCTCACGACCGACTGTCGTATGAGATTCATGCTCTCTGAAATATTTGGGGCAAGGCGAACTCTTTCGTTTTTCCATTTGAAAACCCAAGGTTGATCCGATTTGGATCGGTGAAATCTAGTTTGTGCGGTTTACAAGGGAGCAACGAGGATCAAACCCCCCTCTCGCACGTAGAAACACAGGAATTTTCTAGTGCGAAAAGTTTCTTAGAGCGAGACCGATCAAAATTCGCTCAAAGGTTCAATCTATTCTGGGTTCACGACGAAACATCTTGGTGGATCGAATGCGTTAGAATCATGCTGAATGTTCGCCGAATGTGAGAGCGGTTAGAGAGAGAAACTGGTGGCCAGTAAAGTGAAGGTTCCCTGTTTTCAGGAGCGTTGAGCATTAATTAATCGTATTATCACCGCTCCCTCTCTCTCTCTAAATCAATCAAACAACCAGTCAATCAATCAAGCAGGCCCATAAGGTTACAGGTCAAATCCACCGACTAAGCACTCCAGTCTACAGCTTATCGCCACACGATCTTGATTAGGACAGTCCGATTCTTTACCAGAGTCTCCAACCTTCCGAAAACTTGAAAAAGAATAGGCCGGAGAAGAGAGCCCTTCTTGCCAACCAGCTGCTTGTCGACGGTAGTAGCCAGAGGAGAGGATGGACAGAAGGAGACAAAAATAGGCGATGACTGTGGAAGGTCAAAGAATACAGTTTTCGGGGGTTGACCAACACGGCGTGAGGGTCGCAGGGGCCTCTTGAAATGCGCCAGAGAAGAGAGAGAGAGAGAGAGGGGAAAAATTATCTGATGATCTTGCCATTCAGTGTGGCCACAAAGTCCTGGTCAACCGTGTTGGTTGACTAACCATTGTTGCCAACTGAACTAACCACTGTTGGGTTAGCCCAAGAATCAAAATTAAAAAAAAGGCAGCGAAGAAGAAAAACAATCATTTGTGCAGGAAGAATTCTTCCTAGAATGGTTGAGACCTTGTGCACTGTTTCCAATCCGAGAGTAGGCTGTGTTCTAATGGTTTCAACCCTTTCTTGCGCCAGCAAGTGAGTAGATGCTGCTCTAGCTTCCGGACCTGAGAAGGCATTAACATAATCCCAAGGTTAGATCAAGCATGTTAAATAATCTATATATTCGCCAAAAGAAAATGAAAATTAAACAGCCCAAGTAGCTGACTTTCCTATCAGGAACTTTTCTTCTCATTGTTCTGGGACAACTAGGCTTGACGGTGAGAGCATTTAGCATGAAATTATATGCATATAAGATCATTACGACATTTCTGCAACAAAAATCTGAGTTATATACCAAAATAGTATGGTAGTTCTGCTACAGAAATAGCACATCATACACTCATTCTCCATCTGATTGAATCCCATGCAGAGGATCATTCTTCCCATTAAACAGGTGAACGAGAGGATAAGAGAGGGAATTTCTGATTCATTCAGCCTCTAGCGGACTAGAAGATTTCGAATTTCTTAGGAAGCAAGTCAACGGTCATCTTCCATAAAAGTGGAGAACATCTTCACTGTAGACGAACAACAAACAGAGAATCAAAAGCAGCGTTCAACAAACAGAGAGAAGGATAATTGTCAGCCATGAACATCTGTCAAGTTTCTTACAGTGGAGCAATATATGCTGTTGCTTCCACAGAGTAGGTGATTGCATCCGCAGAGAATGTGGAATCCTTAAAACCTTGCTACCAACCAAAAATAAAAGGGAAAGGCACGAAGCATTTCAACTTATTTCTTGAAGTAAAACTAGCCGTAAGATCATTCTGAGGGCTGATGTTTTAGTGTTGATCAAGCGATGAAGATTATTTCTCGTCGATCATTGAACATTTCAGGTGCTTTCATGGGGCTTAACTCCTTTGAAAAGCATGGTCGCACGTGTAAGCGAGTCGCTCTACCAACTGAGCCATAGCCCTTGTGATAGACAGGCAGCTTAACATATAGATAATTTTTGTGTCAAGATGAGTCACATAAAAAACATTCTTTAGCAGCTTCTGCAGATGGTGTTTAATCACTAACAATGGCTGAAACCCATGTACCCTCCTGAGACATTGCCATAGTGTCTAACAAGTCATCAGCCAGCATAAGCGATATCAATATGTTAGCTTTTCTACAATGGCACTAAAAAAGGATATGCTTCAGGAAAATTACCAGTTGAACAACCAATGGCTCTTCAGAAAGATTTAAAGGCTCAGTCAGAATTGTAAGAAAGCCATTTCGATTTCCATATACAACATCAGTGAAACATCGATCACCAACCTGGCAGGAAAACAACAATCTATAGGTAAGTCGTACAGAACAAAACTACATGATCAGTGGTGAGAGAGACTTATACCATGATCAGTTGTGAGGCTGAACAACCAAAGTATTGCTCTATTTCATCTACAGTCCCAGCCGGTTTCTTTGTCACTAAAATACAGAGAATGCATTCATGATTCAGTCCACACATTCCATGAATTAGTCAAACAAGCATGGTCTTTACCCCTACTCTGAAAAACTGTATAACATATATACGAAAGACCTGTTAAATGATTCATGTTGATGCCGAAACCAGCGCAATAAAATGGTTACATTTCCAAAGTGCACCCCAGTACATGATCTGTATAAACTTGACTGAGGCTCGGAGAAGGTTTCTCAGAGAGGTGCATCCCAAGGCGTAGATGCACGTTAAGGAAAGATTTTTATCTGGTTTACATGAAACAAAAAACCTGAAAATAATGTATCTTTGATGAAACTATTCTCCAAGAACCTCTTTAAACTTCACCATCCCTTATCCAGCTCAAACCATGAAGTAAAATGCTCATTATTTTCAGGGAGGAGGAGAAACAGGACTCTGATCTGTTTCTGATCACATTTTTCAGGAGTATATTCCTTAGAATTCAGTCAAATCTGCTGATTTAGGGGCAAAATCATAGTGAAATGAGCTGGATGGATTGGCCAGAAATCGCCTAATCCAACCTAGAGGCTTTGGAGTGGACAATTTAGTGGATTTGAACTGATCAAAATAGACCAGATCCAACTTAGATAATCCGTCCATTAGAATTGATTTTGGATATCATGCATTGCCTGATTTGTCTAATCCAACCTGATCAATCTGTGGAGCAGATCAGGCCTCAGCACATGAAAGGATTTCAGATAACATGAGGAAGAAGATAAATCAGAAAGGAAAGGAAACCGTGGAAACAGAATGAGTGGGAAGAATCATCACATGGGACCACCTCCACTTCTCCTTCATTCCCCTCTTCCAACTCCACTACCTGTCACACTTTCTCCACTTTTGAGAGCCGCCTCCATTTTCTCTTACACTAGGAAGACCCAACATGGGAAGGCGTTTGATAGCAGTTCGCAGGTGTCAAGATTAAGAGGGATGGAAGAGATATTAACGAAATCCTTTGATAAATTCATTTCTTCCGACTCTTTTACAACCTTTCATTTTCTAGAACACTCTGTAAACTTTTAAAGATGTATTAAGGTTTGGGCCCATTTCTTACAGATTGGGAGAGTTCTTTTCCTCTGGATTAGGTAAAACAGTAGCCTACCCTAATTCTAAGTTTCTTGAGGCCATAAACAAGTACAGTAGTGGAGAATAGATGCCAAAATATTCAATAAACTCCTTGAGCAGATTACTGAAGAGTTGAAACAGTCAAATCATGCAACAGAATTGGAAAATCCATCTATTTGCACAATACTTACCATTTATCAGAAACCATCCACTTTCCCAATCACATAATTAGATAATGATGTGGAATATGGAATGAGCGAGATACAAGGCATTTGACAGAGTTAAAACAGTGTTTTTCCGTTTTCTAGGGCTTCTATGATATTTGGTGATATCTATGGATGCTACTCACACTAGACATGGTAAATGGTAGTGATTGGAAAAAAATCTGCAGTGGCTTTAAATTAAAATGGCTGAGAATTAAGGAAAGATCCTCTACTTCGGGTGAGGCTTTCTTTCTGCAAGGATGTGTCATATAATGTATGCACCTGCCGAACATCTTCATTCAAGATTACAAAGATAGTAGCTGAAATACAGGAAGCAATTCGATCTACCTTTTTCTGTCATAGTACTGGAGAAACGAATAGGATAATATGGGAAGAATTTTCGACCACAAGGAGAATGGAACTCTTGAAATGATCAATATCAAGAATCCTCAATCATGTGTCACATAGTAATCCGTTAAGAAAATAGGTACTGATAATGTTCTAAGTTTAGAGGTTACAAACAGACGTACTACAGGAGTAAGAACGTCCGGGCCATCAATCAGGAGTTTCTTCTCTTTATATGGCTGCAGAGGATACCTACAGGACAATGACATCAAATTTTTCATTCTAGATTGGTGAAGGGATGTTTACTGTCAAACGGAAATTTAGATAAGAGAAACTTTTTCTACTTAGTATACAACTCAGCTTTCTTATAGAAAAAAGCCCTCCAAACAAAAGAGGTAGATCAAAGGAAATGGAAAATGGGACATAAAATAAAGTTCACAGACCAATCTACTAATCATTTCACCTCGTGTGATTGGACAAGACACCTTACAACCTCTTTGACACAGGGGTCAGCTTATCCTGTATAGGTCAAGAATTTGATGGAGGATTTTACATGGATGACTGTTCACAGATGCTTGTCTTGATTGATCTTTGAACGATCCCTACTTAATTAATGTTTAGGCATCAAAGTTGTCTAATGGATGGACGTTCAGCGAGGGAAGGGCGAAACAGGGAAGGGGTGTGCAGAAACCACCGCATGCAACCATCCTCCAGTGCTGCCTTCTGGCACTGCTCTTCTGCTGCCGTCCAGCATCTCCTCTATCTCCAAAGGAGTGAGTGAGAAAGTCCACTTCAAGATTTCATAATATGAAAGAGTATTATTCTTCAATTGAGAGCGAGTAGGGGTTTTAGCTTGGAGCATACCATGGTGATATGGACTAAAGTCAATTGAGGACTTTCTTTTTCGAAAGCTCCATGGTTTTTTACACACAGGTCAGTCTCCTTTCTTCTTATTTTGTGCATATGCTGCACTTTTCACTTTTAAGAAAATGATAATAAGGAACAGCACAAAATAGATTCTACAAGAATTCAATTAGTGTGGCACAGGAAAACACTTTATCCTACCACATTTGTAAAGAATCCCAACCTTGATTTCATAATTTAAACGGTGTTAAACAAAAGTGTAACAGCTTGTACACCTCTAGAAACAGTCTTTATTTTTTTTTTGGGGGGACAGGGAGGGGAGGTAGGGTGCTAAACAATATAATGATGTAAGAAGATTCAGAATCTGTATATCAGATTTGATATTAATTGATCATTGTTTATCCACTATGATCTGATTTATGCCAAAAACAGGGACAGAGAATTAGCAAAGTTCACAGAAGAATGTCCAATGTGCATTTATTAAAGCAGTTAGTTAACTTAATAGAAGTTTAGAATTTTATAATCTATGTTTGATGAGGCCAGTCGTGATTTTCACAAAAGAAAAAAAATATATCATAGAAGCCCATCAAGGTCGGAGGGGGAGAGATGCACTTGCCATGCCTTATGACGTGAACCCCCTCAATGGAATCCTCCAGTGCTTTTGCCTTTGAACTGTCCGGGTCATACTGAGAAAGTCCTAAGCAGGAAAGAAAGAAGGATCAAGATAGAAAACAAAAATCAAACAATAGAAGGAAAATGAGCACCGGTTAAAAAAAAGGATCCGAGCAAGCATTGTGGTGGCATCAATCGGTAGATTTACTTACCGGCAGAGTTGCTATAGATAGCAACACGACCAGGGAAAGCTTGCATGCAGTGCCCCAAGGAGGCGGTGATGGGAGGCCAGAGAAAGAGAGAATAGGGTGAGGTGAGGGTGTTGTCCTTGTCGAAGACTACCCCGCGGAAACCTAGTCGCTCCAGCGCCCGCCAATCAATCCACCGGATGTCTGGTACGCACACTTGAGGAAGCGCCAGCCGCCGCCCTTCCTCCGCCGACAGAACCCGGCAGAAGAAGGCCAGACCCGCCATGTTCAGACGCTGCCCCAGCGCCCGTTCGAACCACCTTCCCCCGCTACTTCCCCTAATCATCTTCTTCCGATTCACCCTTCGGGGCCCTCTAATGCCCACTAACCTTCCGCAGGAGGGGATCACACCGCCGCCGTCACCGCTATCTTCTAGGCAGCGAATCTTGCAGGGGCAATGGTGAGGGGAAATGGTGCGGGGAAGAAGGCCAAGGCGTTGCCCGAAAGAGGGAAGAGGGAGACTGGGAGGGGAAGGAAGAAGGCAGCCCCCCGATAACCAGGCATGGAGCGGCATCACCTCTAAGGAAGACGCCTGCCTTCAAGTCGCTCGCCATCCGCTGCCTGCCCCCCCCACGCATGGTGTAGCAACGGCTGGCTTGGTCCTGTCCGGCTCGAACCGGCGGTAGAAGAGCGGCATCCGGCTCGGCCGGTTCTTCAAATGACAGGTTCAGACCGCAGGCTACTCCACCCAGACCAACGGTACTTTATCCTGCCCGTCACCGCCTCTCTTCTGAGGAGTAGAGTCTTGCTCTCTCAACTGAGGCACAGACTCCCTCTGCTTCTTCTTCTTCTTATTCTCAGGCGTAGACTCTCTCTTCGCTTTCTTCTCAGGCATAGACTCTCTGTGTGTCTTTCTTCCCAGGCATAGAGAAAGAGTCTGTGTCTCTCCATCTCAAGCATTCGCACTCTTCTCACACAGATTCTCTCTTCTCAGGCATAGATTCTTTCTCGATCTCCTATCATGGCAGCCTCTCTCCCTCCCTCCCTCCCTCCCTCCCTATATCTCTCCCCCCCTGCCATCAGTCTGTTTTGCTCTCTTGTCATGGCAACCTCTCTCTCCCTCCCTCCCTCCCTCCCTCCCTATCTCTCTCTCCCCCTGCCATCAGTCTGTTTTGCTCTCTTGTCATGGCAACCTCTCTCTCTCTCTCTTTCTCTCTTCCCCTTCCTATTTTCGCGTCTTCAGCGTCGGAGGTGGCGGAGATAACAAAAGGATGATCTGGCGGGAAGGTTCAGGTGGGAACAATAATAGAACACATGAGAGAGAAAGAGAGAGAGAAATATAGCATTCCACCCATTCAAAATGCTTCAACGGCTATGCAGAGATAGAATTGGCCACGTGTTGACCGTAGGGTCCATTGGATATTCATTTAAAAAGAATAAATAGCCCATTCACGCTTTTTAAATAGCCCATTCACGCTTCTTTCCCCCTCTACACACTCGTCCGTCAGTGGTACTCTGCACGTTGCCAACTGCCTCATGGCAGGAGGGAGGGTAAGGAGAGGCGCTTCTCATCGGCCGATTAGGTAGGTTGGCAGCACTGGTACGAGTTGCCTATTAATTTCCCTCTTCATATCATTGTGATCTGATATTATCTTGGCAGGTTCTTTTTGCTCTTCTTTCATATGCTTTTCTAGTTTTCTTTCAACAATGCTAATCCTTCCCGTTCCCATCTTTTCAATGCATACTTAATGTGCTTGTTCATTTTCCTCTTTCATTTTTCCTATCAATCATGTCCAATGCAGATGAGGGCTGACAACTAGATTGATTGATTGAAACTCACAAATATTTAAAAAGGATTGAAGGCTGTCTAAATTCACCTCGTAGAAGGAGCTTAAACAATCATGTAACTTAGAATGACCACACAACAAAATACTCTCTATCTGGTGTAACTCAGAAATTCACCCAATAGAAGGAGTTTAAAGGATCGTGTAACTTAGAAAGACCACATAAGAAGTATTCATGTCTGACCTCATGTTATGTGTGTGAATTCTAGAGCACACATTTATTCAAGAATCATGGTCACTAAAAAAATAGGTTTACCATTTTTCTCTCTCTTTATTATTGTCTTAATTCTCTCAATTATCTCTCTTCCTCTCTATTAAATCAAAAAAGTTGGTTTTAACAACCCCTAACTTTAAATTTTGATATTCCCTAGAGATAAGCAAAAAACATATAAAGTTAAAGCTATTTATTTTTCTTAAACATAAATCATTTATTTTCTAATTTTTCCACTAGAGATGGTATTAAAATAAATATTTAGATATTCATGTGATTCAAAATAGTTTCCTACAAGATCAAAAATAAAAATAGTTCCATATCCAAATGAATTATTCTAAAAATATTCATTTTAACTTTCATTCTTTTTAATGTATGAAATTCAACATCTTTTATTTTCAGCATTGAGTAATTAAATGATGAAAATTTTACTCAAATGAAAACTATCTTCAGCCTTCTCTTCTAGATTTGTGCACCTAAGTAGCATATTCCATTTGTCTTTTATTATTATTATTATTATAAACATCATAGCCAAGTAGCTGTCTCCATATAACTTCTTTTTAATAACTAAATCTCACATGTAGAAAGCCTCCACAAGACAAGTAGGAAATTCCCATAGAAATATTTATACTCATTTTTCTTAATCTTGTCCTAGTCTCACATATAGAAAAGTCTCTATAAGACAAGTGCAAAATCCTCATATATATATTTATATATATTGTGAGTTGGGGTCTTACACTCTACCATATGAATTTTTTTAATTTATATATATATGTAAGATAAAAGGTCAACTACTTGGGATTCCTCATACTAAGAATGCCTAGCTTCCAATAGTTTTTATAAAATTTCAACCTCTTCACATCTAACTTTATGATTCTTACTAATTCAAAAAGAAAATTCATAACATATGGATTATGATCATCAAGATATATTCCGAAAATATTTCATCTTTCAATATATTATAATTTATTTTTTTGATCCCTTTACTAAATCTAACACACTTTAACCTTCATAGTTAAATGAATTTACCATCCTATAAGAAAAATGTAGAAATCCCTGAATTCATCATGACTAATTCCTATGCTTAAAATTTCTTTCTAGGTTAATTATTCATGAAATAATTATAACTGAATTTTCTTTGCTCCCCATGAATTAAAATCGGAATTGCCCTCAATGACATGAGATATATTATCAAATTAAACTATGAAATAAAAGATATATGCTTATAAATCAACAAGTATAACATGATAAAAATAAATGCATGACATAATACTGAAATGAAATGAGCAAAAAAATTCTAAATTTATAAAGTAAAAAATACAAATTAAATTCAACAAAAATAAAATTATTAGGTTGCCTCCCAATTAGTGCTAAGTTTAATGTCTTCAACTAGACACAATTCTATAATGAGTATATGAAACTTTATGTCATAATTTAATGTCTTTTTTTGGATAATATTCTTGATATAATGCATGGATAAGATTTACGACATCTATTTCTTTCCTCCTTTTGTGCAATCAACACCTCCGACAATCAGTGAACTCATTCCTTTTTTTCTCAATTTCACTCAAAGTCTCTAGTGAGTAGTAAACTCTTCTCTTCTCCCCAGACAATAGTGATAGTGTGGTTGACCCCTTTTTTCAGCGGATCTTTTTGGTAAGCGGCACAACACTTTTGAATGATACTTTTGCAACTTCTAGTGTGGTGTGACATGTTCAAACAAAACTAAGTTACCACACTAGTGTCTCTAGTTGTCTAGGAGGTAGATTAAACTCTGTTAATGATTTCTTTTCTACTTTCGTCATTTATTTATGTGCTTTTAATATTTATTTACATTTTACAGTAAATTAGTTTCATTTCATATACTTTTTGATTAAAATGAGTAGAACTAATTCATATCTTGATAAACGATCTTTGTCCCTCTTTTGAATCTTTCAAAACTCATCTGAAATTAAATAAAATCATGTTCAACTTATTTTTATTATTTTTCACTGTCAAATATCAATGTATTCATATTCCAACCATTTTGTGAATAATAGATAGTTTTTTAATTTCAAATATAAAATCAACAAGATTAAAGGCTACTTAATGATCGTTGAACTATTAAAACAAAGTTGAGACATTCATAGTTGACTTCATGACATGTGTGTGGATTCTCGAGTACACATTCGTCCAAGAGTCATGGTCATCATACAAATGGTTTGACCATGTTTCTCTCTTTCTTTATTGTCGTCTACTTCTCTTTTTCCTCTCTCATGAGACCTCTTATTCTCTCTCCATCTCTCGTGAGATCTCTATCTTTCTCTCTCAATCGATCTCCTTCTCTCTCTCTCTCAACCAATCTCCTTCTCTTTCCCTCTCTTGATCAATCTCCTCTCTCTTTCTCTCTCTCTCTCCATTGATCTTCCTCTCTTTCCCTCTCACTTGTGAGACCTTTCTCTCTCTCCATCTCACATGAAATTTTTCTCTTTCTCCTCTCTTTCCTTCTTTTCTTACTCAACTTTTCTTCCTTTATTCTTCTCACCTCACTCTTCTATTTTATTATTTCATTAAATATTAATAACATATTAAAATTATTATATACCAAAACTAAATTATTTTTTACAACAAATTAATCAATCTCCCTATGTTCAACCTCAGACTTACATCTATACTAATATTTTGTTAATTCTTAGTTATAAATATTATTAGATAATTAACATTTAAACACAATGACAAGTACACATTAGACATCTTCTAAGAGACCCCTAGGTCGTTTAATAGATTTATCAACTAGTTAAAGTTCTATTAAAGTTGGTTTTAGTTCTCTAATTTTTTAATTTTCAAAAATAATTGTAGGTAATAAATTAACACTTGCTCTCAAATTTAATAGCACATTTCTAAATATAGTTTCACCTACTTTATATGGGATGAGAGGTGTTCCCAGATTGTTACATTTTCTTGATAAAAATTGAGAAATAATAACACTAGCCTCTTCCAATGAAGATATCTTCTAAGGTGACCTATGAAGTTTGTATAATTATTTTAAGAATTTTGCATATATAGGTATATATTTGATTGCATCTATCAAAGGAATAGAGATCTGAACTTTTTTAAACATTTTCATAAGCTCTTCATTAGGTTCAGCTCTTTTCCTAAGTTTTAGTTGTAATACCTTAGTAAAGGGTACAATTTTTCTAAATTCATCTGGTCGTGATAAAATAGGAATAGGTGGTATGTCCACTTCTGATTTTTCTTCTTTTGATTCTTGCTTTTCTTCTTCTAAATTCTCATCATCAAAAAATAAATGATAATATGTATTTTCAAAATTATTACATAAATTTTGTTTAAAATATGCATATTATCATTAATGCTTACATGTTCATGCATTCTGATACAATTATCTAAGTTCTATTTTTTTTGTTAAGATTTGATTGGATTCTATAGATTAATCCCACTTGACCTTAAAGTCGAGTGGATTATCTATAATAAAATTTGTTTCTTTTTGAGTTATTAGTTGTGCAGAACTTAGGTAGATTTTATGGAGCAGAAATATTTGAGAACCAAGCCATGGAGAGCCCTAAAACTAGAGCACATCCTAAAAGAGTAATGGGCACTACGCATGGCCCCAAGGTCTGCTCACTAGAGTGACCAAGCAGGAACCACAATCTAGAGTCTATAGGCCAAAGCAACTAGGTAGTAACTAGACTTTAAGGTCTGTTCACTGGAGTGACTAGGCAGGAATGATAGTCTAGGGTCTACAAGTTAGAGCAAGCGAGAACCACAATCCAAGGTACACTCACTAGAGTGACCAGGCAAAACCACACCTCAAGGTCCGCTCACCAAAGCGACCAGGCAGAACCACACCCAAGATTCGTAGGCCAGAGCAATTAGGCGAAACTTCTCAAAACCTCAAGTGCTAGAATCGAGCTTTAAAATGTCTAAAAAGCCTTTGGAAAAGGTTGATGAAGTGAACTTAAGAAGGGTAAAAAGAGAGAAATACCAGGGGCACTTATTGTAACTTGTTCATCTCATTTGGGGATTTTTTGAGGACCCAGATGAGGATCAGTGACGTGACTCAGTCGTTGTATATTAAATCACGTAAATCTAAAAATTATAAAACTAGAAAATACAATTTTTTAGATATTTAGAAGTATTTCTAAATAAATATATCAATTATAATTCAATAAAACTTTCAAAAATAGTGATAATTTTCCAAATCGATCACAGAATGTAATATAATATTTGGTAATTATTTAGAATTTTTATCAATAAAATTTGATTTTCTATGAATTTTATACTAGGAAATGAAAAGAAAATATATTTAAAATTCACGAAAAAGGGAAATAAGGGTGCGGACGTTAGCATGACATTAGTGCCCAGTGAATGCAAATCAGACAAAAATAGAGTTTCACTCGGTGATTCTTACATAAGCGATTACAGACGATTTAATTAATCAAATTAAGATCCGTAAAAGCTAGAAGAATCGTAATTGAACAGAGTATATTTTGGTAAATTAAAAACCCAAAAATTATCACTAAATGAAGCGGGTGGGCAAAACATAAAGGCTCTCCTTGGACAAAGACGACATGGGCAATCTTTAAATCTCTTGGTGAAGTCTAGAGATCAATGAAGTGGGTCGTCAAATCGTCTCCAATGGCTGTCACCCGGTAGAGTAGAAAAATGACAACTTTGCAGCTCTCTGGTAGCTGTCACCTGACGAAGAGGAGGTGGGGTGTGTGTTAGAGAGCTTCATCCTCAGATTCCCGCAGCAAGAGGAGGTTCTTCATTACATCCGGTATGCTCTCAAGAGGTGACGACTCATCTGTCAGTAGATCATCTTCTTCTCGATGATAGCTTGTTCGTCGATCAATTGGAGATGTTTTACTTGATGGATTCTCGTTCCTTTTATCACGAATTATTCAACAACTTTAGTAATAATGTTTCGCGAATCGTGTTGGCGAGATTCGTCGATGATCTAATGATTCTGGTTGCTTAATCCTTCACCAACGATCTGCAAGAAAGTCGTGATAATCAAATAAAAAAAAATGAGTTTTGGCTTTGGGAGGATTCAAACCTATGCTGGTTGCCGGCCCCTTCTAAGGTGTGACGCGGGTTTAGTCCCACATCAGTTGTGTGCCAATTTTTCGGACGATTATATACTAATGTTATATTTCTAAGCAAAGTTTTTTCTCTCGTGTGTTCGACCACTCCTTGCCCCACAACCAGCTCACCACCGGTGACGTGGAAGGGGAGTGACACACATGTGTCCCTATCGGTTCAAGTCGCTCGAGCCCCTGCTCGTGGCTACTTCTCGACTGAGCTTTCAACCTACTTGCGGGCCCAATTGACTGGTAAGTCCCCCTCATTTTATCTTATTTTTATTTTTTATTTTTTTTCTTCATTTATCTCAAAAGTAAGACTATAAAAATCATATAAATTCATATAAAATCACATAATTACCTAAAAATTCACATTAATTAACTAAAAATTATTTTTCACACTTTAACACAAATATAAGTCTCTTTATCATGAGTTAAGGCTAAAAGTATATTATTTACTAATTATTAACTCATGATAATTAAAACTTATCAGTCAACCACATGATAAACCCTTAAAGATCCCTCTCCTCTTCTTCTTCAAGGTTAAATGAGGTTTTCTTTAGCAAGTCTTGATTGATCAAGAGAGGAGTGCATGGAGCAAGTTAGGCTCACCAAGAAAGGAGGCACACTCATTTGTAGATGATTAGAGCTCAAGGTTGGTAAATAAGACCCTACGGTGAGTGTTCAATCCTAGTGCAACATGATTACCTCTCGACTTCAGCACTAAATAAGAGTAGAAGTTAAATGTTAGTATAGTGATTAGTTTTTTTTCTACATGAACCCATATCCTCACATTTCCCCCAAATTTCTACCCCTCAATCAAAACTCTTCTATCTCCCTACCTCAGAACTTCATTTCTTATCATCTCACCCCCATTCATCACCAAGAATCAACTCTTAACCCTATTCTAAAGCTCAATCTTAGTAGATACAACCCTAATTGACCACATGCTCAAAATTAATTAGAAGTTAGGTTTATAAATATTTTGATTGATACCAACTTAAAGGCCTACAACACTTTAAGTTGAGGGATTATCTTTGGCTTTAATATAGCTCATTGTCTTTATAAATTTTAGCCTTATGGATGGTAGTATGATAATGCTTTTTTTTCAGTAATAATTAAGATAAAATCAAAGTATTTATCACATGAATTAACATAAAATGTGAATCATTTAAGTGAAAAATATTAGCACTAAGTTGAGAATGATGTGATGAATTCATGTTAAAATTCGTAACTTTTAATGAAATATTTAATATTTTTAATCTTTTTATTTACATGATTATTTAAGGTTTATGATATTGAGAATTATTTTAAAATTGATAGGAAATTACTCATGAAGTTTAAATTAGAAAATAGATTTATCTAAGAGTTTTTTGAGCTATCTTAGTGAGTATATGTTTAAAACAAAATTTTTTTTGAGCCTCTATCGAGTGTAGCTTCATTATAGCAGCAATTGTGATAGCACGGTACAATTTAGAACTATCTAAAGCACTATTTTGCTTATTGTCAAGTGAGAATAAAGGCTTATTTGGATTTTAGACATCGAGTCATGCAGTATGAAGTGGGAAAAATCCTTGCTTAGACCTTATATCTTATAGATTATAAGTGGGATGGATTGGCCTAGTCACCTACTCATTAGTATTACCCCTTGACATATAAATTTCATGTTATATGTTGTTTCTTGTGCCTTGAGAAGGCCCTTGGCATTTAGCACTACAACCAACCTTTCTTTTAGAGTTCAGCATTGTGCTTTGAATTTTTGAGTCAAGAGGGCATATGTAGTGTGCTAGTTAACCAAGGGACTAGTGTTTCTCATTTACTAAGACATCCTATCTAGTGGATATGCTACAACAACAATTTTCAAATAACGGATAGGGTGTCTCTAGTGGTGGAACGGGGGGTTAACAATAAGCCCCTTATGTCCTCATTTCCATGAGAAGGAGAAAAATTCCCAACAACAAGAACAAGACCAATAAGAAAAGGGACTTAAGTCAATTTTTTTCATTGTGAGAAGGATATTATGGTTGGGACAAGAAAGACAAGGAAGAGAGTCACATTGTTGTGACAAGGGAGAACGATGGTCATCATCATCAAGTGCTCTGATTTTGGCTAATTTCCTCTTTTATTTATACCTTTCCTACCTCCAAAAACCTTTATAGACATTTCAAGTAGCATGCATAGTTTAGCTTTCTAGCTCATAAGAATAAAGGTCAGAAATAATATAAAATGTCTGGAAACTATTTTGGTTGAAGTGATTTAAAGAGTAAGAATCAAAATCCTAATCTCCATAATTAGAACTTTAGCAAAAAAAATTAATTGACTATAACCTTTAAGAAAGAAATTTTCTAATAAGAAAAATAATCTTTGACACTAACACTTTCTAGATTTAAGAAACAAAAGTCATTGTAATTTCAATATAGAAGTAGACACTAATGAACTCGATTTAGAGGTTAAATATATCATTTTGATATAATCAAGTTTATGTAAATAATAATTATAAAACCTCACTCTTCTATTTAAGATGGTTGATCTTTAGGGAACATGGGTAATGAGTGTAAGAATTTTACTTATTTTATTTCTTATATATATAGATATATTTGAGATCATGTAAGGTAGAATTAAATCTAAAAAGAGTGAAGACAAGAGAAATAAAAAACATGACAAAAAAGAGAGAATGAATCTAATACAATGGAATGGTAGAATAAATGATAAAATTAGTTTGAACTAAGAGTTAATCTATCCATGGAGAAGATTACAAGGACATTCCAAATCTATATCTAACACATACTTCATTGTGTTCTAGTCTTAGGTCGAGTGGTGCTTGATCTACGATGATCTTGATGTGCTCTAGGTAGTCTCTTCTCCACGACAATCTTGAGCACAAGAATGCCATTGATTAGGCCTTGATTTCCCCCTTTTTTTCTTCAACTAGCCACTACTAGAGAGAGAGCCAAAAAATGCCCTCTAAGAGGGGGGCGAGATACCTTAAACCTTTAGAGAATTAGGCCCCTCCAATAGATAGTTATAATTAATAATCAACTCTCTTAATAGACGGCCCAAATTCTTCCATGAGAGTAGCACTCTAATCCTCCTTTTAAGGTGCCCTAAGATGGGTGGCCTAAATCTCATCTCTTGATAACCCTTTTAAGTCTAAATAGGCTAGGCCAAGGTGACACCCTCTCTTGGACTTATAAACATATTAGGCTGGCCCTTTCCATAAAATTTGGGTTTTCTTTAGGCTGAAGACTTGAACTTCTTCTATTACTTTGAACTCTTAATAAGAGCTGACCCAAGTCCTTGTATCAAATAATTATCAAGAAAATGTGAGAGAATTACCACTTGACTTCATAAAAGTCAAGTGGGGTTAGTCTCATAATAGAAATAAAATAAATAAAATAATATGTATAATTGTGAATAATAAAATATTATGAATGTCATAATGAGTCAATAACACATATAATTATATTCTCTACCCATTAATTAGCATCTATATATAAGATATTAATACATAGATGCAACTACTAATTTATAATTATCAGACACTAGTAGAGCTTATAAGTCTCATAAAACTTTTCATTAGTTTAGAACATAACATTGTGTTCTGAACATCTTAGTCATTAAACCAAAACAAATCAAAAGTTAATATTTATATTGTGGAAATTACTTTAAAATCTTAGTGACTTTGGATTAACTCTCAAGGACGACTATGAAATTCTAATATCAAATTATGTTCCAAATTCTTATTAAATCAAAAAGAAGCAAAAGTATAGAGTGAGCAAAACTAAAAGAAGGAGAAAGAAACATAGTTCCTTTATGACGAGTAAGTCACCAAATTTGCCATCAAAGGATACAGAAATGAGCAGAAAGTGGAATGAAAATTGAAAAAGGGGTGAGAAAATAGTCCTCTCCTGATCCTTATGTCATTAGGGATTAATCAAAGAAGTGTGTGCTCGATGAAATCAATCAAAATAGTAAAATACGAAATCATATAAAAATCAGTAAAGAACATTCCTTTGATGTTGTTACTCAACATAGGACGAAATAGAAAGATACATGAAAGTTATAAAAAAAATGATAAATCACCAAAATATAACCCTGTTTAAATTGTTGTGTCACTCAAAGATCCATAGAAGGAGAACCTATATTGAGATTAAAGAACAAAAAATAGTGAATAGATGCAGTAAAGAAAAAACTAATATGTGGAAATCTCATTCCTTCTTCATATATCACTCTAGAGATGGTTGAGAAAGGGAGAAAAAAAAGATCCATGTTGTCAACGTGTTGCTGCCATGAATGCCACCACCATGCTACCTGACGCGACTTAGTCGTTGTATATTAAATCACATAAATTTAAAATTTATAAAACTAAAAAATATGAATTTTTAGATATTTAAAAGTATTTCTAAATAAATATATCAATTATAATTCAATAAAACTTTCAAAAATAGCAATAATTTTCTACGTCGATTACAAGGATGTAATATAATATCTAGTAATTATTCAGAATTTTTCTCAATGAATATGATTTCCTTTTCATTTCCTAGTATAAAATTCATAGAAAATCTTATTCATTGAGAAAAATTCTGAATAATTACCACATATTATATTACATCCCTATGATTGACCTGAAAAATTACCGTTATTTTTGAAATTTTAATTGAATTATAATTGATATATTTATTCAGAAATACTTCTAAATATCCAAAAATTCATATTTTCTAGTTTTATAAATTTTAGATTTGTGTGATTTAATATACAATAACTAAGTTGCGTCAAATTTTGGTGCTGTTCCGGGGATGTATTGCATAATATTTATTATTTTTCTATTTTTCTCTTAGAGTATACAAAAAAAATTAACTCTTGTTTTATTTTCTTTTTGCTGATTTTTTTTTTTTTAAATGGGAACGAAGGATTGGAGCATATTGAAGGAGGGTAACAATTACTAAACTTTTCCCTCAAATTTACTGATTTTTATGCATGGTAGAAGATCCTTGCATCCAAGGCTAGAAAATACTTTCATTATTTCATTCAAAATTTAAAATCTTAAAAAAAAAAAAAATTTGATAGATCTTGAAAGAAGTACAAGTCAAACTGAGAGCAATCTTATGACCATGAAAAATCATTATATTCCATATTTATTTCAAAGAACATCTAATATTATCCTTAAAAATGAATAAATTACAAACACATGTTCTTAATCGTCCTACAGCATAAATTAATAATGAATACTTCATCCCCCAACTTAAAAATGACATTGTCCTCAATGACATAGAAAAATCGAACATAATATGTAGAAAATATAATTTTCACGTGAAGCATGCATATGTGCAAAGTTAAGTATTAAAAATAATTTCATAAATGATAAAGCTCAAAAAGACATCACCTCAACCTCGTTTTTAATTTTCTACTTCATCTTACACTCCTTTTCCTGCACTTTTTTGAAAAAAAAACAAATACAGAAACAAGTATTGCGAAATTCTAAGAAAAATAGAACTTAAAAAAATCAAACAAAATGAAATAAAAACCATGGGTTGCCTCCCATGTAGCACTGAATTTAATATCTTCAGCTGGACATCTCTTAGATCATATAAGATGATCTATGGCCATCAAAATATATTTTTATCCCAAGGTAAGTTTCATGATATGCTTTTTCAGATTTAACATAAATTCATATACTTCATATATATACCTTGACATACTTTCAACCAAAACAAAATAGAAATTAACAAAATTTTCTCAAAAATAATATTTTCATTTTGAAAAGAATCTTTCCTTATTTCTATCTTATTTTTTAAGCCTCTCAATCATTAATAAATACTTTCTATTAATAGATCATAAAATGTGATCAGGCCATATAATTTTCAAATTAGCTCTTGCCCAATCTAAAATTTTTCATCTAAATTGATCTCTAATTCTTCCACTCACCCATTTATTAATGTGTTCTTTTATCTACATAATCTTCGCCTGCTCTATTTTATCTTTCATATATATTTGTTCAATTTGCAAGGAATGAAATATTTCAAGCTTAAAAATAATTCTAATTGGCTGTGGGTTTTGAAGGATGGAAGGATTGTCTTCTTTAATCTCAGATCTAATGAATTCAGTAAAATTCAAATTTTCTCCTCCAAAATTATCTCTATACTCATATTCATTATTTTCGTTTCTCTCCATTAGTTGAATCAACTCTTTTTCTAGTTTTTCGTTTCTCAACTCATCAAATTCTTTATCTTCCCAAGAGCTATCTTTTAATTTCGGTATATGATATACATCGTCATCCTCACTATCAACATCCATGGCTACAAAATTATGATTAGATTTATTAATTTTGTCTCCTACATCTCCCAAATCAACTATTTTTTTCTCACTTGAAATATATTTTTTTTCATTTCTGTCCTTATTCCCTTCTACTAAAATTTGGATGATTCTTCTATGATTAGCTACTATTTCTTTATTTAAGGACTCTTTCTCCTCAGCATCCTCACTATATTCATTCATCAATTGTGAGTAATAAATAATTTTATTCAAAATTTCTACTACTATATTTTTGGCCTTAATATTCTCATTTACTTCTAATGGATCATCGATTTCTTTTAATAGTTGGAAATAAGGATCAAGTAAAATATTCTCACTCAGTGTATTCACTGTCTTAACATTTTCATTTTGTGGGTTTTTTTCTTAGATTCATACTACTAGACTCCCTTTGCTAAAATCCTATTATTAGACAATTCCTTGAATTTTCTACAGGCTAACTAGGTAGCTGTCCCTCTTCTCTCTTATTCCCAAGAGCCTCCATAATTTGTTTTTGGTGCAACATCATTTAATTCATAGTTTGTTACATCATTTGGCTCATTTGTTGCATCATTTCCATAGTATCAAGTTGGGTTTGAAAGGGCTGATTTTTCTGAAAACTATTTTCTTATTTTGACGAAATTCAAAATTTGAATTGGATCTAAGTGCTTCTGGATTTTGAATATTATTTGGGTTTCTCCACAGGATTATAAGAATTAGAAAAATATTCCCTATTTTTACTAAAATTGTGGGGTACCTACACTTGTTCTTGCCTAAGATGATATTGAAATTCGAAATGATCATTTTCACCATACATAAGACGTGTACTATTTGAATTAAATTGAGGGTTAAGAGGCTTTCTAATATTGTCAATAAGTAAATCAAGTTTTTCTAATCTTTGATTAATCTGATTAACCTCATTTCTAAATTTAAAATCATCATCATAATGTAATTTATAAATTCTTCTCTTCTTATCCCTATCATATAATTCAAAAGAAGCTTGATCTCTAGAATTTTTATTTAAATTCTCATAAAAACTATAAATCTCATCAGGGGTTTTCTCTATAAAAGCTCTTCCACATATAGAATCAACCATGTTTCTATTTTATTCTAATAATCCATCATAAAAAATTCTATTGAGCTGCCACTTGGGTATAGCATGATGAGGACACTTTCTAAGTAAATCTTTGAATTTTTTCTATGTCTCATGCAAAGTTTCTTCTAATCTTTGAGAAAAATTTCATATATATTTTCTCATATTTTGGGTTTTTCCTAAGGGATAAAATTTTTGAAGAAAGGCCTATTCTATGTCTTTTCAGCTAGTTAATTCTCTATCTAATGTGGATAGCTAATGACTAGCTTTGTCCCTAAGTGCATGAGGAAATAATTTCATCTTAATAATTTCTGGTATAATTTGAGAGAGATTAACTAAATCACAAATCATATGAAATTTTTCTAAGTGTTGATGAGGTTCCTCTAAAGGCAATCCATGAAAATTAGGGAGCATTTGAAAAATTCTTAGATTTATTTTGAATTTAATAGTGAGTGTTAATAGGACTCTAATATTAGATGCTCTTTGAAATGAATACAAGATATAATGATTTT